CGTACTTCAATTATGCAACGAGTAGATACTGGAGCATGACTGAACGAATTCAAAGAGCCTGACCAAGTATGCATTATGTTCACGACTAATAAGGTATTAATAACATGGAAAATGGCGAGAAGCAAAAACGTCGAGTCGCAATAAGGTTTGGAGCGGGCTACTCCAAGGAAGATATCAGAACCACTTGGGCCAATTTGCAAATCATGAAGACGTCAATGAGGAAAACCGGAGGTGATGAAGTCGAAGGAGATGGTAGGAATCGAGTCGTGCCGCCGACGCTCTTGGACCACGATGTCCATAACAGGCACAGCCTGAAAATAGAACAAGCATATGTCAAGAACGATGGAGAAAATCTTGGAGCATAGCACACACTACAAGCCGACGTGCGGTGCCATTCTAAGATCTAACGAAGCACAGATGCAATCCATAAGACAAAGACAACCCAGCACGATGGAACAGCGTGGCACGATCGGATCATAAATGTTCGATACGAGTCTCGGTCCAGCAAGGGAATCGAAGATTGAGGCGGACGTGGGTCAAAGGGTGGCAGCAGGTTGCAAGGGCATAAGACATCCTTCAGAAGATCCACCCAAGAATAATATAGAGAACGATACCGGCGGCAATACACATGCCCGCAATCTTCAACACGGCCACAGAATCGCCTTGTTTTGCCATCCGCGTGAGTCGAGTGGCGCTACCTTTGAGGTTTGTTGAGAAGGAGGAGAATACATCGCTCTAAGAGGGCAGGATTGTTAGTCGCAAGTTGACCCAATCGAGGCGCCTGTCATAAGGATATTCAAGTAACAGGCAAACGTCCTGAATGGTCATCGGACCAGCCAAAGATTGATCAAGACATACCGTATGGTCGAGAGTTTCCTGATCCCGCGCATTGTCATGGATATCGATCGTCACGGACCGGAGGGCTGACACTTTCGAGGAGAGCGAATTGAGGAGAGCATTATTCTGTCTATTCCGAAGTATCAGCACTCAAATCAATACAGTCCTTTTTTAACTCCTTTCGTAGGGGCATCCGATGGGACAAGGTGGAGAAAGGGGACGTACTGCTCGCGTTCGTAGGCGTCACTCATTTTCGATACTGTCAGGTTTACCTCGATCCTTTGTAGGTTGTTTATTCAGAGTAATGCAAGATCCACAGAGATCGGAAGATTATCACAGAAATGAGCGAGGCGGAGGTGAGTGGCCAAAAGCTTAGAGAATCGGAGCCGACGTCAGCTCCGTGACAGATCACATGATCGTCGATCTTCAATATACAGAAATTTACACACTTCATACTTTTCATTATACGTTTGAAAAGGGCAGAGGGCAGAGTTGAACAGCCCTATATTGTTCAAGTCACAGATATAACCTAGCGCTATATATAGCACGCCATGTACACAGTCGCGCATAACCTACAACACGCAAATTCGAGTCTCATGATGGCCAGATTGCTCATGAAAAGCCTCGAAATTGCTATCTTGTAATTAGATGGGATATATTGATACCTCGATGGGCTTTTGAAAGAGTATAGAATAGGCATTCAAACTTAGCACTTTTGAAGTCCTACTAGCCTCGGAAATTGTTGTGATAGTATGAGACTGAGCCCGAATATGTCTCAACCAAACTCTTACTAGATTCTAATTGAGCCCTCGGGCGTTGTTCCTGTTATCCCTTCCAGAGTCAGACACTATTGGGGTCTAGATAGAGAAATATAGAAAAGAAGGTGGGGAAGCTATATTGGACTTTGTATGTAAATTTTGGACCCACACCCGTTCCCCGCCTTGGATCGACGTTTTACCCATGTGGAACAGCTCAGATCATCCCTGCTTATGGCGACGTTATATGCAAAATGAGATCGACTGAAGATGAAAGACCATCAAAACGAGCCCGTCAGGCTTGCGAGCCATGTCGGTGAGCTTGAACCTCGGTTGTCCCAAGCCGAGAGGCAATTTAAGCTGACATTCCTCCAGCCGGAAAAAGTCGCGTTGCCCAGGGGAGAAACCGACTTGCTCGTATTGCGAGCGACTGGGTCAACAGTGCGTGTATGCAGGCACCGAGATTGGAGAGGAAGGCCCGGGGCACTCTCAGAAGATGATGGTAAGTATGGTTGATGGCTAGACCCAAGCAGATTCTAATATGGCATAGGAGCAACGCATTTCCGGCATTGAGGGGAAGCTAGAACAGCTGATGGAATATATTACGTGTGTTGTAACTTTCTACTTACATATGTATATATTCTGCTTTATTTGGCTGACTGAGGTCACAGGCGACCTGCCTCAAATTACCTCTCCTCGCCAGTTGTCCCCGAGAATGACCCTCGGATACCAGAAATTCCACCTCCGGAAAGTTCTTCTATGTGAGTGCAACTCGAATTTACTTAAAAGAGATGTTAATTGACGAATTAAATAGAGCTGGATCATCCGGGGCCCCAGACGCTGAGCTTTATCTGACGTTTTGTAACGCGCAGCCCCTTCTGCTATTCCCCCACAGATCCTCTCTGGCCTCCCTGGGGAAACGGGACCCCGAGCTTCTACTCGCAATTGAAGCTCTTGGGGCCCGCTTCAAAGGACTAGGGGTCATTGACCAGAACATACAATTGGAGATCAAGAGAAAAACAGAAAGGGCCCGTCAGATGGTCATGATGCGTCTGGCATCCGGTACTGTGGAGCTATCTACGATCCAGACCCTTTGCCTTCTAAGTATGCTGGAATTCACAGGTAAAGCAGTCCTAGCCTGTGTCCTTGTGTTCATTTCTAACATTGTTTCGTCTGTCCAGCGGGTCACATCATTCGCGCAGGGTCTTATACCAGACTTGCCACATATTTGATGGGGAATCTCAGAATAAATGGTCTAGAGTCTCTAAGCAATTTGGAAACCGAGCGTGACGAGCGCAAGCTCTGCCACGTAAGCCTCATCCTGCTTAAGAACCTTCAGGGGTCCCTACATCCACCTAGAGACAGCCTGGACTTACTTGCAGAACCTGGTAAAATCCTGTCTCCATTGGGAGCGATGATTTTCAACAAAGAGATTACCCGTGGAACCAGTGGCGACTCTAAGCCAGATATTGGCATCAATGGTAGCAGTGTCTACACGAGCGAGCTGTGGGCGATGGCATGTAATTATGCCGCCAGTCATGTCGGTGTTGACGCTCATCCCCCGTGGTCTCCGAACTCCGATTACACTATGATTAATTTCCGACACTGTGAGCACGAGAGTCTCATGCCACTGCGGTTCCGACTTCATGCAAGTCGCTTCCAAGACTATCCCCCCGCCGAACTTCAGGCTCATCGTGACTACTGGAGCCCATGGCTATTCTTCCAGTTGGTTTGGCATGCGGTGCCTTGTTTAGTGAACCATCCATTTCTGTTATCTATGCGACTTCGGAATTTCCGGAGGACAATGCCTCAGTCATTCCTGCGCAATTCCTTCGAGCAGCTGACATTCCACTCGGGCTGGGTTGTTCATTTTCTCGAGCTTATCGAGACGAAGAACTTCGAGGTATCTGACCCGTCCATAGGGCAATGCGTGGCAATTGTTTCTACGATCTATCTTCAACATAGTTTTGTCGAGGATCAAGCATTCAACAGAAAGGCGCAAGCGGGATTTGAGAAATGTCTCAGATTCCTACGAAACATGAGCCGTCGGTGGCCACATATCGATCGCCAGGTTAGTTCTCATCCAACCGTCCCTTTGGTGCATGGATTTTGATGTTGCCTCTAGGTCCGACAACTGCAACAACTCCGGGACAGCGTTTCCCCTGGAGGCCTTATGACGGACAACATCGCCCCAGGGGGGCCAAATTCTCCCCAGAAGTGGTCTGTAAATTTGCAGTTATTGTGGAAGATCTTAGTATATGCCCATGCAAGCAATCTATCCGATCCTGCTAGCGACATCTTCGGCCCGGAACTTGCTAAAGACAGTGTCGGATGCTCAGGGGACCCTACGGCCGGCGCTATCACAGAACGTGATTTTGCTTTGATTGGATCCGCTGGAATCTCAGGCCACAAGACAGTGGCCCCCGAGTGTGTCACCTACCCACCTGAGCAGACTGATGATCCCATACAAACGCAGGGTCAGACCTCACCAAGGATGGGATTTCCAGGGCTTCCGGAAGATCCTAACGTTGAATTTAGCGGTGGTGATACGTTGTTCCTGCAGCTTCAAGATTATGAGAGGGCGTTTGAGGATTGGCTTGGCGTTAACCAAACGTGAGGCTGGAATTTAGATGTCGATGATTTATACTTCATTCAAGTCCATGGGTTCTCATCCGGGGAACACGGACCGGGTCCGGCTTTTCCGGACGCCAAGACGGCACTTGGCCGGCTGCCCTACCTACATCCACCGCATTTTAGAATCCTGGAAATCCCCCAACCTATTGCAGTTTGACAACACTCCTCTGGCTATCGATCTGTTGTTCAAAATGACCACAGCTAAAACAGACTCAATCCTGATTGTGGGCGCCGGCGTCTTCGGTCTTTCGACCGCTCTTGAACTCAACAAGCGCGGATATACGGACATCACGGTTGTCGATCGCTTTGTACCACCATCAGCAGATGGAAGCAGCGTTGACATTTCGCGCATTATTCGCGCCGATTATGCAGACCCAATCTACTCTCAAATGGCCCGGGAGGCATACAATGGATGGACCACCGAGTACAAAGATCAATACTTCGAATCAGGATTCGCCTTGTTCTCAGAGACGCCTAAGAATGCATACATGGAGAAGTCCAAGGCTGTGATTCGGGCGGCGGGTGGCAAGTTAGACGATCTCGACGACGCCATGGAGATCCGCAAACTCTACCCCAGCGTTCAAGCCGAGCTTTCTGGCATGAACGGATATCACAATCCGAAAGGTGGATGGGCGGATGCCGCAGGAAGCATTCAAAAGCTGGCTTCCAAGTGTACCGTGGCCGGCGTTTCTATTATTGCCGGACCTCGCGGTACTGTCGTCTCTCTCCGCCGGGCTGGCTCACGCGTCGTTGGCGTCAACCTTGTCGGAGGTCAGGTGTTGCTTGCTTCACAGGTGATCTTGAGCACCGGCGCGTGGACTAACCGCCTTTTGGACATGGGCCATGCGGCATCTTCCTCTGGTCAGCCCGTTGGCTTCATTCAGTTGACCGAGGAGGAGGCTCTCGAGATGAGAAAGATCCCGGTTATGATCAACATGAGCTCCGGTGTCTTCTCATTCCCGCCCACACCGGACACGAATGTTCTCAAGCTAGCACGCCACGGCTATGGGTATGCGACTGATATCACTGTCAATGTGGAGGGCGTTCAGAAGTCGCTCTCATCACCGAAATTCGAAACCAGCAATGCGGCTACTGGATATTTGCCTGACGACGCGGATGAATCTTTGCGAAAGGGTTTGCGTCAGTTCTTTCCCAAGCTGGGCGACCGCCCTTGGATGAACCGTCGACTGTGCTGGTACACGGATACCCCTAACGGTGACTTCATTATCGACCACCACCCAACCATCCAGGGGCTGTTCATGGCTACTGGTGGTGCAGGACAGTAAGTGTTCATCGAAATTAATACCCTAACACTGTGGCTTTATACTAACTAGCCTAATTTTAGTGGATTCAAATTCCTCCCTGTCCTGGGACAATATATCGCAGACTGCTTTGAGAACAAAGCACCCGAAGAGTTGCGCCAAAAGTGGAGGATGAGCGCGCCTCAAGCTGACTCAGAAGGGCCCATGGCAGGCGATGGAAGCAGAGGAGGCCCTCCACTGAGGAAGCTGAGCCCGCTTGAACAAGCCAAGCTGTAAATACTGGGCACTCTGATGCTACGAAGATACATATGTGAACGCATGTATCACTATTTCACCTGGAATAGGATCTGTGTGGTCCCTCACAAGATATTATAAGCCCCATTTCTTATGTCATAGGCAGGTTGTCTAGACTTTAGTCAGTATTCCTGACGTACTTAATGCACCTTCCTGGGTAAGCAGCATTGAGGTTGTTGCTGATGCAAAACTGAAGTCAATGCCAAGTCTATATATCCATAGAAGTTAATCAAGCAAATGCCCCAGCCAGGTTAGCTCGTGAGGGGACCAGGCTGCTGTACAAACAATATCCCTAGACTCAACTCACAGTATGTCTTTACCGGGCCTTGGGCAGGGCCGAATTTAGCACGTGTCGAAGGCCCGTACGTGAGTGATATCATAAAGAACAATTCTTAGATTAAAATGGGGGATCGATTCTAAGTCTATATATTCTCGCATTCATTCACCTCCGGGAAGGAAAAAAAGCCATTGCAGAAAAGGAAATTCGGTCTGAAAAAACCATGTCATATACATTACTCAAACATGAGGACTAAGTGGAGCAAGGTCCTTTTCATCCTCAGATGCAGCCCGCGTATTAGTAGCAGTCCCCATAGCAAAGCTACCATCCTTGCACACAGGCCATTCATCCTGTCGCAGCCAATACTTCTCATGAGAAGGAGCACCTTTGAACGCCCCCTTCAAATCCAACGGGTCAGCGAAGGTCTCCCACCGGGAGCGACGGTCAATCCAGCCGGGACCCATTCGCTCCGTGCGACAATCAGGACACAGATAGCGTCGCTTTTGGCGAGGTAGATGCCGACCCGGATGCATCAGGTTGAGCCACCAAGTAAAGAGAAGCATCGGACCCAGTTCAAATGCATATAGGTACCATTCGTCGCTGAGAATAGGCCCACAGTTTTCCCGGCAGCCGAGATTGCCAAACATCTCGAATGCCTCGACTGCGCGGAAGGTACACCGCAGCAAGACAAGACTCGATGTCCCGTAGAGTGTGACGCAGATCGTACGGATATTTGGCGAGAGCATCCGAGCCCGAGAGCAGCGGGCGTGAACCGTTGCAACGATCCCGATCACGCAGCATTCGACCACTGCTTGGAGAACAAGCCCCGCAGCGATGAGAGACCCACCGGCTTTGTACTCGTCTATGTCAGAGCCGGCTGATGCGTTCTTGGCTGCTCCTGCAACTGTAACTGCTTCCACGGCAGCGCCGATATAGACAAAGAATATGAGGACACGGTTTGGGTTGAGGACCGCATGCATGGGTAAGTAGTTCATGAGGCGTCCGATGAGGTTATACGCCGCGGCCGAGTAGACTGGGGGGCCGATATAAATAAAGACTGTTGATGCGATATAGATGTTCAAATTTCCTGGCTGGTAACTCGATATGCAGCGGAGAATCCAGCCCGCGGTAAACAGAGCTCCACCCCAGCAGATAAAGAAGGTGACGTGCCAGAATCGGTAGCGGCTGAAGGTGTTAGGAAAAAAATAGGTGTTTTCACAAGTGGTATGTCGGATGCTTACTAGTTTTGGTAGATATGCAGGAATAGAGACGCGCCGACCAAGGCGGCAAATATAGCTGGTAAGATATGACTTGGATTGTACAGGTAGAGATTTCCCTCTGCATCCGAGTTATTTGAGGTCATGACGAAGTCCAAAGAATTGTGAATGGGATATGAGAATGCTGGGTGATTGCATGTTTAAGTATCCTCCAGGCCTCTCACCAACGTGCTGATCTACACATCATGAAGCGCTATATAGGTCTATATTGGGTTAGACTAAATGGAGATTCATTTCAGCCCCATCGATGCCCACGGGTTCACTGGCCTCTAGTTGATGAACTGGCCAATCAGGGGCGCCCAACTCGGCCACAGCTGCGGTACATTTGACCCGAAGCGGTTAAACTGTGCAGCCTTCATAACCTCAGCCTCGCAGTGTTGTTTGGTGCCTTTTTGGTCCTTTCCCTTTGAGTGCGATACATTGTGATTTCGTAGCCACACTTAAATAGACACCTTCGTGAAGACCTGCAGTGTCCGTTCTGAGGTCCACGCTCCGCTTCCCACTCAGACCATGCCAGGTGTCCCAACAGGTCGGGCCTGTGACGCGTGTCGCGAGCAGAAGAAAAAGGTACGTGCGATGAGATTGCGGCGCAGAAAGTTATTGCTAATAAGATGTCAAGTGCGACGAGAAACAACCTGCGTGTGGACGATGTCTTCGTTTGAAAGTGAGCTGTGTGGGGTCCGGTCAGCGACGATTCAAGTTCAAAGAGCAACAATTTCCCTCAAAATCAAACCAAAGCAGCCAAGTAGCCCTCGCATCGGGATCAAGATCAACAGAAAAAGAAAAATCTTCTTTTGAGCTACCCCGGGCATGTCCTGGTAACGGTATGACATCCTTGACTAATTCGTTTGTCGGCGCCATAAAACGATCCACAGACCTCCGGTACAATATCTGGTGGTCTTTCGGCATTTTCCTGGAAGATGTGCCCCGACGACTCGGCAGTAATGAAGCCCTCGACCGTGCAGTTGACGCGGTGACCACTGCCCACGCAGGCTTCTGCACCCGCCAACCAGCTTCGGTTGAGGCACTAGCCAAGTATTCATATGCGCTCAAAACTCTAAGAGTCTATCTAGATGATCCGCTGCAGGCCAGTGCTTCCAGTACACTATGTGCCGTGATGATACTTTTGATCTGCCAAATATTCATCGGAAATAACGGACAAATGCTATCAGGACACGCGCAAGGGGCCGCCAGCATTCTGCACGCGCGAAAGAACTTCGGGCCACGCGACGACTTTGAGCATAAATTATTCCTCTCTTTACGGGGAAGCGTGGTAAATCCTCCAGAACTCCCGCCACTTTCCTAAGCCCAGCTAATCACGCTCCCACCTGGGCAAGTTATTCGAGAGTTTGTACAATGATGCTATCGACCTGAGCCCAGAGGAGTGGGATGCCTTAGTCAAGAATGACTTTGATCAAAACGAACCCGAAGGTCAGATTTTGCGATGTCTAGCACGAGCACCCGTCCTAATCAAACGCGGCAAACGAGCTATACGCGACGGCGAGGATTTAACACACTTGATGATGGAAGTCCGACCAATATACGAAAAATGCAAATTGATCTTGGCTGAATTGAAAGCACGAACGGTCGAATTTGAAACGTCGGAGCTCAGCACCATGACAGAAACCTTCATGGCCCGGATCTTGCGAGCACATTATCTCCGCACTCATGGAATTGGTCTTGCAATCACAACATTTTTCAATTGCATCCTTCAGGCACTGGATCCTAGTGACTGCGCTTGTATGGTAGAATCGAGGTCCCTTGTTAAAGATACTCTCCTACATGCTCAGGAATCCAATGTGTACAGGCCTGTCGGAGCCGGATACGTAATAATGTGTCTGTCAGCGGCATGGGCCGTTACTGCGGACCCCCAACTGCGACTGATGGTGGAAGCCACCTTGATTGACTACCATGGTGACTTTGTGACCCCCGATGGCGTGAATATACCCCGAGAGCTTGAACGGGTGAGTGAGCACTTATGGCTCGGATCGAGTGCAGTGCTCAGATGAATGCAAATTTTATCCCCCGAGAATACAGCTGTCCAAGATGCCCATTTACCTTTATACTGTGGTCAGTAGCATTATTGTCAGTTGCGAGGAGCGAAGGATGAATACAAGAGAATACCCATGGACTAGTTCAGGTTCAATAGCGTAAGCCGCAATCCGCCCCGAACACGAACATCGCAAAGAGTGCGGGGACATCGGGCTTAACCCCCGGCGTCAGCTATCGGATGCGCCATCGTTCCAATGGCTTTACGAAGTCCCTAACCATTTCTAGGTGACGGAGTTACTGACGACACTGGTTCGTGATCTATGAGTGCATCGGGACTTTCGCATTGATGATAAAGATGGGCAACTGTGCTTATGATTCAGATATGAAGAACCTGCTGTATAGCATGATAGGCATCGGAAGCCTTGAGAAGCATAATCAGTCGTATATGGTGGTAGCCGTTAAGAACTGATAGTTTTGAGATTTAGAATGAGTACAAGGCACGTACGTATAGGGACCAGACCGGCGTCTGTTTCAGCGAGCAAAATATAGAATGCTTAGAGGTCGAGCCTATGCATACATTCATATCTACCCAAACAATTAAGTCAGCATACTGGAGGACCTCATAGTTGGTAAAGAGGAGCTCCGTTTCGCGGGCTGCTCCTTCTCTACGGCCCACCGGGACTGGAAGTCCAGTTTTGTCCCCTGAATGAGCAGTTGCTCTAGGAACCCCCCGTTGAGGTCGGCGGGCGTCTGCAATTACAGTAAGCGAACTTTGTAACTAACTAGTTATGGTATGGCTGGTACCACTGGTCACATGACAACTTTGTTTTCGACGAACAGTTCACGTGGCCGTAATGGCGTGTATACAACGGCCAGTGCGGGTGGTTGCAGATGGAGGGAAGAGAAAGGAAGAGACGCAGGAATGAGAAATGGAATGGGGTTAGTACTGATTTATTCGCCACCGGGGCGCTTGCGGCATATCCGCCATGACGCTCAACCGAGCAAGTTCAGCACGATGAGTTTCCAGACGCCCTCTGGCCCGCTTCATGCAGCACCGGAGGGACGATTTCGTGCGCGGTTGTTTGGTACATATGCAAGTACATCTTGGCTTCCCGGCCGTAAGGGCGTCCCGGGCTTGCTGAACTTCCGTGAGCAGGCGCGCCAAATCGAAGAAGTAATCCACAAGGGCTTGATTCGCAACTCCAATAGCGCATGGGAATTCCCGGTCGTGTTCGTCAAAAGGCCGAACGGGAAATGGCGACTACGAATCCGAGGATGACACTACTTCCGTGGCATCCTCACGGCAGGAATCGACAGAGGACGCTCAAGAGAACCCGTCCAAACGGGTTCAGATCGATCTGCATACCCACAGTGCGTAAGGGGACCCTTACCAGCCGCGCAGTTATCGCATTCACGCCCGTTCGGGGCAGTCAGGCCACACACGTCCCCTTTCACGATCATATGCGAGCCGATCGTGGGCGTCCTGTGAGCATGGTCGGTCATAGTCATAACGGACGTTTGCCAATTGATACGTGGGTTTTCGGCCTGGAGAAAGTCGCGTCCAAGAGGTACTAGGACATCCTATGTGATGACAAGGCATGAAATCGAAACTTCGGGCTAATAGTCACTCGCTCGTCATATTTGCCTTCCGTCTCACTTACACCACATCTGCCACGGAGTAATACCATAGCAGTTTGTCGCGTTCTGCCAGGTTTCCTCGCCTCCATCCGCTTGTCGCACCATTTCAACAATATATTCACTAACGTTCATAGTCCCAGCTGGATTAGAATAGTCTGATAATCCACTCTATTCGGAAAGTAGACAAGGAAGACTGAACGAATCTACATTCTGTCATACCTTAAGCTTATAACTGAGGCCTTGCGTTAAGACTCTGCTTTACTTTCCAGTAAAAGCAGATTGAGAGGGTCGTTATAGTTGTCTGTCAAGTTTTAGACGGTCCATAAAGACGAATGAGAATGGGGACAAAAGCACAGTCTAGACAACTGAAACGACGAGATAGCCCTTGCCAGGATCTTACTGAATTGCTAATGGTAACAAAAGGCGTAACTCCTATATGCCCAAGGTAGAATACTACCTGGGTAGACTCGTAGCACAGGTCCCTTAGTTCAATTGCTCTATTGTTGTATTATTCTATTGTTCTATTGTTCTATTGATAGCCATAATAAAAGAAAATTACTTCTTAGATAGATTATGGATTACCTACCAATTCATCGACAACCCTGTACAAAGTGAGAGACGCCTACGCCTGACAAACAAGGCCACCTGATAATCGGAACAATCCTCAATTGCTATTGTCTGCATCAGAGCTTCTTTTCAATTGTCACTTGACTATAACTGGGATCTCCTCTGCTCAACTTCCTTCTCTCTTCCTCAACTTCAACTGCTCATATCCCACCTGCTCATGTCTCATCTCAAATTTCGTTCTCTGCCTTTAATGATCACTTCCCATTCTTCATCAATCCAGCTAGTGATCTTTTCATATTTGTGACAACAACTTCGTCTTGATCAATCCACCGACTCTCACATCCTCCGCACTCGGTGCTTTGACATTGCCTCTGGCGACAACAACCATGTCGTTCGTTCTCCTACCCACAGAGCTCATTCTCATGATTGAGAGCAATCTGCATTCCCTAGAAGACCGCAATTCCTTTGTTCGCACGAGCCCACGTTTTACCCTCATTTTCGAAGACAGACTCTACCAAGACTGTTCAGCACACGAACTCGATTGGATTATTCTATGGGCAGCCCAGAGAGGCCTCGATGGCACCATACGCAAGTGCCTGAGGGCCGGCGCCAAGATTACACGACTAGACAGATTCAGGTCTCATAGAAGAGATCGCGATGCCCCGGAGTCTTTGAGCGTCATCCCACGGCACCCGAAATCACACCCTTTGACCGCAGCAGCCGAAGTTGGCTCGATGTCTTGCGTCAGTCTTCTCCTTGCAAAGGGCGTCAATCCCAACTTGCTGGATGAACACTACGAAACCCCAATGAGACAGGCCGCAGGAAACGGCCATGTGGACATTGTTAAACTGTTACTTGACAGCGGCCCTGAGGCATTCTCGGGTGCTTTCAAGCTGCGACGACCTCTGAAGTTTGCTGCGGCTCGCGGCCATTTACCCGTACTCAAAGCTCTGTTTTCCTTTCTTAAGGCTGAAGATCGAATTCTCACTGTCAAAGATGCTGCACAGATCATCCTGTACGAAGGACTCTGGCACTGCGAAGAAAGTGTTGTGAGATATGCACTCGAACAGGGTGCTGACGTGAACGACGAAGAATTAGAGTTCGCGTTGCGGTTTGCTCCCGATCTACGTCCAGATGAATACCCTATGAGACCACGAATCAAGCTGGTCCAGTCATACAAGTTTGGAGTCACCATTCGAGGGATCCCCACTCCTGGCTGGTCAACCCAGGTACCAAATACACTCCACGCTGCAATGATGGGTGGTGATCCGGATCTGGTTGAGTTGATCCTTGACCAAGGTTTTAATATTGCTCACGTTGGGCCCGCCCTGCGACACGCAGTCCTTCGGAGCGAGACCGCACTCCTCTCTAAGTTGATGAAATTAGGGGTCACTGTCACCTCTAAAGACCTTTATGACGCGGTTTCTGAAGGAGTTTACAATTCGGATTCCATGAAGAAACATGTGGAGAGAACCATGGAAGAACTAGGACTCCAGACTTGAGCAGGCTGATACATCTGTTCTGGGCCACAGCAAGAGACACCATCACGACGCATATTCTCTCAACAAAGCATTTGATCAATTGCATATTTGCCTTGGATATTTTCTGTTTCTAGTTTATTTTTCCTTCTCTCCATATTCTATCCAGAATGTGGTCTTAGTGACAGGGGTAGACAGGGCACAAGAAATTAGAAAACTAAATGGAAACCAAAAAAAAGGCATTTGAAGAGCGAAATGAATCCTTTGAACATTCACGATCTCATTGTTATTAGGACCCTCTGAGTGGGCGGCTAAAGCAGCGTCTAGTTAGTGCATAGTAAAAACAGGAACTAGCCCTATCATGACAGGCCTTATAAAGGCCATTAATCCGCCCAGTAACAATAGAAATTGCATATACATACACTGCTTTGGTATTGGATTGATGGCCTACATTTGTACAGATCACTTCTGAGAGGTAGAGGTACCTGAAACCACCTGGCCATGTTTAGTATACATCACTTGTACTATCCTAACATATGTATGGTATGAACGAAGAGTTTGGGTGAAATCTGAATGGGGGACTATCGTAGCCACGAAAACGCTACAAGTGAGAAGCTGTCTTTCTTAATTAAATATCAGATCCCCATTTAGAGTATCGCAGCACTGTATGCTGTATGCTTGAACCCCTCCTCATTTTGAACCTGTGATATGACCGTAGAAGTGTCATTGGATTTCATGGCCCTGCGCAAGGGTGATCTTCCGTGGGATAGTCGTGGCTCATCAACAGAGATAAATCCCCTTCTGCGGTCGACCATTGCATTCATTACCAACAGGTCCCATGGTTGCTCCGTAGGACTGAAAGGAGATCTAAAACTCCATTCCGCTCGAACTTCGGCGGTGTTTTCAGGGACACCAGCCTCAGGAGGTGGTGTGTGAATTTCAACAATAATGGATCCGCCATACGCGATGTTGCGTGCCAGGCCCTCCGCATGGGCTTTTATAGCAGTGGGATCGTCATCGCGCAAAGATACTAGTTTACGGATTGTCCAGCTTGACATATATTAGTTAGTATAGTCAAGAGACGATTAATTTGCAGACTGTACCTTGCTCCGTCGTTTCTGTTACCAAGCCACTCTTGAAGCCAACCAGATGATGTTATCGAGAAACTGTGACTGGAAGCATCGGACTGCTCCCAAGAGCGATGGTCATTTTCGTTGCTTGTCAAGAATTCTCCGGACTTGATTTTCGCTTGCTTTGAACAGTCAATCCAAAGATCGAAATCGACGACTTCGGTCTGTTCGCCTGCGGCGTGTGTTCCGAGTATTTGTAGAGATATATTCGGCGGAGACGCTAGCTGCGCTATTAGAGAAGCTCCAGGGTTCTGAATCGTGGATATCATTCTTCTTTGTGGTTATGCGGAATCTTATTAGATGAAATAAGTTCAATGAGGGAGTGTTGGGAAAGAAGCGGCCCTTTGCTCACTTATATGTCGTGAATTGGGCAGAGATAACGCGTAGTCTACGTGGGTACTCTACTGGGAGGGCCTGTTATATTTTGTAAAATAGGCATGGATACGACTAGGGGGCCATATTGGAGTCAAAAAGCGGGAACCCCCAAATTTCAGTGTGTGATGGCTCCCACAGTGATAGAGGCGGATTGTCCACCTCTAGCCAATCTAGTTGCGAACTCGATTGTGGTATAAGTCCCGGGGTGTTGTGTGGATATAAATCACCTACAGGATGGCATCAGGCGCGGCTATTCACGTGAACATCTTCTCAAATACAATGCATACATAGGGACAGTGGAATTTTATTCTAATGTCTGATTGGACGACAACTAGCGGTATTGCACTTTGCGCACAGCAAGTATTCTGTCAGTAGTAGCATTTCGATGGCAAAATCTCTCCATTTCAGTTTCAAGCAAATCGATTAAATCAAGCGCGAATGACCCTTTCCCTGGACCTGAAATGATCAACTACCACAAGACCAAAAGATGGTCCGACTATGGAACCACATAGGTGATCAAATGACAAGTACTGCAATGAGGGGTTGAGACACTGAGCAGGGTATAGATTCCTAGCGCCGTATCAATGTAGGGGTGCAATACGAGTTGTATAATAATGCGAAAGTTCAAAGAGCTCCAAGTCTAGCTCCTTTGTTGCTTTGTTGTAGGTAAGTTATTCAAATCAATGACTATAAAGACGTAAGACACAAGTCGGTTTGGTATCTATAATGATAGGCGGACAATAGGAAGGGGAGAGGCACCTAGCTATATTTCTCAGAGCTTTCACATCGCCCCAGGCGAACATGGAGATCAGCCAATTGGGCTCCATAATAATTCACAGATTATCTGGTCTCAAGGGGTATGGGGCGGGGGCTGAGAAGCCTGTTTTCTTATAGGACTTTTGTAAGTGAAGATATGGGATGTTAGTGGTTCGTTTATAATAGCTGGCGCTCGATTGACGGGTGACTAGACAAGATTACTCTATCTGATGCGTTTAACTCCTACCTAGGTAGTGAGACAACAGTTTACATTTGAGTCAGGTATACTATTAGAAAACAGTCCTATATGGACTCCAGATGTCTGTTGAAGCTTAAGAACGGTACATTATCTGCAGTCATCCCTTAGTTTTGTCGCATTTGCCCGAAATCAGCACCGACTAGGAAGCTCCACCTTAGTTTTTCGCGACCTGTACACGGTTGCGGTCTCGTGACTACAGGGCTAGGATCCTGCAGCTCCTGTTCCTCGATATGCTTGAAATTGCTATTATCCGCGACTTGCACCGGGATATTCTGAGCTGGAATATCTGCTCGATCTATAGCAGGCGGATACAAAAGACTTCACTTGAACCTACCAGTATGTAAGTTGAATGAAATCAGTTGACGAAAAAGCACTGGTATGTGATGGATCTCACAAGAATCCTAGGTAGCACGCACTTTGGAAATGTCTCCTGTAATGCGAGAATATTCTGGACTTGGGTTTTTGATGCGATATAGTGCTATCAATTGGAAGGGGAAAGCCGCAGAGAGGCATCATGGATGTTTGACGATGAATGCCTGAATACCTGATTATGCCGTTTGTTCCTCACCTGTGCTTTGTCCATAAGCTTGGAAACTTGGATTAAAATTCAACTTTTTCCCGTCCTCTTTTTGAATCTTCAACCCTCTCTCGTTTCCCAAACACCTCAACTTAAATCTCCCATCTCTAACGAGCCGCAGCAAGAGCTTTCCGTGACCACTGAGAGTATGGCTTCCCTCCATCTTTCCAGGAACACATCAGAGACAGGCCAGCATATGAAGCTTGTCAAAGGTGACACCGATGCTTCCGAAATATCGAGATTCGAAAGCACCCGCTTGGAGGAGGAGCTTATAACGGCACCTCTATTCTCCCTCTCCGCTTGTGAGACTTTGGATACCCACCGTCTGAATAGCGAGCAAACTCTCGACGGAGACCCAACATACCCACAATATGGACTGCTTGGTCTGCGCAATCGATTTACCAGCAATGTACCGGCACAAGATGATCTTGTGTACGCCAACGTGTCAGCCCCTTGGTCTGCCTTCATCTGCGGCAGTCAAGGAAGTGGCAAGAGCCATACCCTGTCCTGCCTGCTGGAAAATGCATTGATCGCATCTTCCCCTGCCGGGAAGTTATCCTCACCTCTGGCTGGACTGGTTATTCACTATGACAAGTTCACAGCCTTTTCCAGCACGCAGGTGTGCGAGGCGGCGTATCTTCACTCCTCGGGCATTCCAGTCAGAGTTTTGGTCTCCCCGACGAATTACCTTGCCATGAAAAAGACATACGAAACACTGGCAGGGGGTTCCAAAATGTTGAAGGTTCTGCCACTGTATCTGCCCCAGAGGGATCTTAACATTAGCATGATGAAGACCCTGATGGGAATCGGCAACAGGGCCGAGCAGCCTCTTTACATCGAGGTAGGTCAACACCCCTGTCATGCAAGCTGACAATGTGCTAACGAATTACTCACATAGGTTGTTATGAAGATTCTCCGGGACATGGCCATAGCCAACCAGGGAAAGGCTGGGTTCGACTACAGCATGTTCAAACTTCTTCTGCAGCGTGAACAATTTTTGAAAGGCCAGCTTATGCCTCTTAACATGCGCTTGGACGTTCTCGAGTCATTTTTTGAGCCTGGATCTGTCCCTGGTACAGATCCCGATAAGTCAAAGCAACGGGGTGCTGATGATGTCTGGAAGTTTCCTGCAGGCACTTTGACGATAATCGATTTGAGCTGCCCATTCGTTGGCCAAGAAGATGCATGCGCTCTTTTCAACATTGCAGTTTCCTTGTTCTTGAAGAACCGCGATGATGTGGGTCGCATCATTGCTCTTGATGAAGCCCATAAGGTTCGTGGACTTTCTCTAATTCCCTGAGTCATCCATGTTCTCCCATACTGACATTATATCTGATTATAGTTTATGACTTCAACTTCACCAGAAGCCGTGGATCTGACGGAGACACTGCTATCTGTCGTCCGCCAGCAGCGACATCTGGCCGCGCGAGTGTTGATAGCAACACAGGAGCCAACTCTTGCACCCGCACTGCTTGAGCTTTGCAACGTGACGATTATCCATCGCTTCTCTTCGCCAGCTTGGTTCAAGGCTATCAAGTCACACATCGCCGGAGCTGGGATTGAGGGGCTTGGTCCGAACACCACGGCCTCGTCGACCATCTTTCACAAAATCGTTCGTCTGCCGACTGGGGAGGCTTTGGTGTTTTGTCCAACAGCGGTGTTGGACATCGCAAACCACAACGTCCAGCAGGATGAGGAGCTGTTAAGTGTTACCTCTTCCAGTCGGCCAGATACTCCTGATGGCCCGTCCTCTGCAGACAGTGCTCAGATTCCGGCAGGCGGCTCTGACTCTCAAGATGAGCCTACTTCGCATCGCGTCATTCAGCTCGGAACAGCGTATGCCCACATTCGAGTGCGGAACAGGATCACCATTGACGGTGGTCGCAGTGTGCTTGAGCGCTAAGTTGTGTTGAAGTGGAAAAGCAAGGTGCATTTACCTGCATACGAATTCCCGGTATTGGTTGAATTATCTAAAAGGTGGATCTCTGTGCTACATAAAAGTGACAGGTGATGAGTATAGTGCTTGAAATTATGTGATGTTCATTGTATGCAGGCTTCTTTCTGCGTCTAGCGACTGTGTGAAATAGAAAAATCCTGATGAATCGCAGTCCGTTCGTAAACAATTAACCTACCATAGCTATACCCTGTATTCCTCCTAGATTACATTGCACATTCCACGTCATATTTGAGACTTGGTAGAATGCTGACGACGACTCTTGACTTCAGAAGAACCAAACAGAGGCTATTAAGATCAATAGGTTAGACAAGATGCACTGCGGAGCCAAACGCAGGCCCGACAGTGGTGGAAGTGTCGGAGAGCACAAACAGATGCTCGAGACTGAAGGAGGACCTTTTATTACAGTCAAGACAGGAATTTGTCCCGACAAGCAACCTGGATACCATTTACTATTTTAATCTCTCCTAAGAGTTGTCCAATAAGTGTTGTTCCGACCTTGTGTGCTTCGTGCAACTCCTTATGTACTCCAAACCCCCCCTCCTAGGCAACCATTTTGAAATCTCAGAGACTCTCTGAAGGTGAGATTGTTGGACTAGTAGGTCTAGAAAAATGAGGACTTAATTGCCATCTCCATCTCATTTTTGTGGACCGGGGGCTGGGTTGAAAATGTGAAACACCTGTTCCCTTGGCCTTTTGTCCTACTTAGGCTCATAAGGACCAAAACTTCCGGTGTGCTTAGACCTTTCGGACTTATTGTCCCACATTTAATTAGTTATCCAGTGTAATAAGAGTCAATGGTCATAAAGTGGTGTCAAATAAGCTGTTGTTGTCCATGACCCCATGAATATACAGTTCCATATAAGCGTAAATAATCTAAGGTATTTGATCCAAATGCAAAACTCCAGGGTATTTTCATAGATACAGGACTGCCAATGCATTATCTACAGTCAGGACGCCCAAAGAAGCTGATTATCTCATGAATCCCTGGCATTCGGCATCGAATCTAAACGGGCCGCAGTCATCCTAGGGGTCCCGTGCCCTAACCAATGACTATGATTGCGCTGCCTATATCAACAGGCAATGTATTATAAAATCTTTCCATTGCGATACGGACAGGAACTATGACGCGCGGCTGGTCAAAATGAGGGACGTTGCACATCATGAATTGAGTCGACGAAAAATTTCCATCTGGGCTGAAAGTGAAGTTGCAAGCTACAGAGTCAACAGCTCTTCCTCTAGATCCCTTTGAACTACAACATAGTGGTGAATTTACATCACCGGGACTAGTGAATGCTGTCCTCGCCTAACTATTTTGTACTCCTCACACATATCTGGGAGCACGAGGCGTGATGGATCAAGGCACCATGGCAAATCAGCCCAAAAATAAAGATCCCCATTGAAATTTGAGAAGACCCTGTGAGAGATACAGCCTCCTGCAACTGTCATAGGGACTATAAAATATCATGTTCCCATCTTATGTCGGCCCTGGCTTTGATTTCCTCCAACCTCAGGAATATTATATTGTGGCCCGACCTTCCAAGATTGACAACTATTTCCTCGAATTACTTCACTTGATATTGGTTACCACTGAAGCCAATCAATATGCGGATTAACATTATCTCTTTGGTGGCTCTGGCTGCTACAGCTGCAGGTATGGCTCTCTGTCTGGAGGAATTCAGAACGAATCTAATAGCCGTTAAATCAGGTCTCACTGTCACCTCGCCACGGATGGGTGAAAGGATTGATCCCGATATGCCCCTTACTATCAAGTGGCAGTCTGTCTCGTAAGTACTAGTCCGACACGCTTAGGCATAGTTTCGCAGACACTGGCGATTTGCTAACAGAACATGCAATATCAATAGAACGGATCCAGAGACCTTTAGCATCGAACTGGTCAATCAAAATGTCTACCCTCCGACCACAACCATTGTGGCAGAAGATATAGACTCTTCCAAGGGCTCCTACACTGTCAATGCAAAGACGTTCACGGACGTAGATGATGGGTATGTCCAATTTGATTGCATTGCCTTTCAGCTACTGACCTGATAATCAATATAGGAAGGGATATCAGATCAACTTCCTCTCTCCGACCAGTGGCATTCTGGCTCAGTCTCAGCAATTCCGAGTCACTGAGCCTGGTGAAATTGCTAGTGCTAGTGCTAGTAGCTCTGGTAAGGAAACCAGCTCTGCGCTTGAAACTTCGTCTGCCTCGTCTGCCTCTGTGATTTCTTCCGCGACTAGTGATCTTACTTCTTCGATTCCTTCTTCCTCGACTGCTTCCTCTTACCTGTCTTCGACCGCTACTCACTCCTCCATCAGTGCGTCTACCACTACCTCGTCCTATTATTCTACTGCTTCATCTTCTATTTCTACCCCTACAACATCTTCTTTCATAAGCTCTTCTGCAAGTGCGTCTACCTCTTCTATTTTCTCCTCTCTCGCTTCAATCTCCACGTCTTCTTATGCCCCTTCAACATCCTCAACCCTGGCACCTACAACTTATTCTACTTCTACCTTGACTTCTACCATGACGCTTACCACTCCCACTTCTTCCTCAGTCTCTTCTACACCTACACTTGCAACTTCTTCCTCGGTCTCTTCTACACCTACACTTGCAACTTCTTCCTCGGTCTCTTCTATATCTACACCCTCAACTTCTTTCACTACATCAACTTCATCCTCTATTATATCCACCTCTGCTACCCCGACTACTTCTACTTCCATATCTTCTATCTCAACTACTACATCCACCCATCTTCGTACCTCGACTTTCACATCAAGCACTATTTCCTCTACCACATCTCCTTCTACCCTCATCTCCACTACCCCTGGTTAGTAAAGGCTGGCTTCCGAGACAGCATTTTGCTTTTCACCCACTACATTAAGAAACCGGAGACTAACTCTATCCATAGAATCGACCTCAACTTCAATGACTTCCTCCAGCCTGTCCGCCGCAACCCATTCGAGCACTACTTCGACCACCACTCGCAAGTCGACTTCGTCCACGACCTCGAGTGCTACGGAGTCAGCCACTACCTCAAACGCTGCTGCCGTCCTCATGCCCCCTGCAGGCAGTCTGCTTCTTGGTCTGTTCGCTCTGGTCCTTTAGATCCCGATATCGGTCAACATCCAGCTCTAGGCAACTGGCCAGCTGGATATCCGGGAACTTAAATATATGAGTTGCAGATAGTTCTGGTTATTTGGGGTTGTTTTTGGACAAAGTCTACGTCTGTTGAAGATGTGGAAGTGGGGTTACTTTACTGATGATTTATTTTGCTTGATGATGTTGATGTTGATGTTGATGATTTGGTCTATGGACCTATGATATGCCCCTTACATTAATGAGAAATGCGATAATGCTATGCCTGTTTTATAGTTTTGAAATACAGTCAATCACGTCTTTGAGTTGGCCATTACTCTATTTACATTAAATTCGGCTACTAAATAGGGAAGGAAAAGGAACCTTGGAAAAGATCTCCATTCAAAGTCCTCTCTAGCAGGGAGAGCTAAAACCTCGATCGCGGTCTTTTTAGCGAGATTCGCTGTCGATTAGTTTCTAGAAGGACATATACAAGAGTCATTACGCATAATCAATACATATGTGTGTGTAGATTAGTAAGTAATATGGACATGAAAAGATATCGCAGGTGTTAGAAGAAACGAAATAGCCACGCTAAAAAACTGAATCCCCGATTGGTTACCTCCAGGGCTTCCAAGATTGTTGAATCGATTTCGATTACATTGTACTAGTACGGAGTTTCGAGTCATCCTGTACCAGAGTGGACTGTAATCCCGCAAATGGACCATCATGATTTGATGACGCTGTCGCTGGGTCGATGCCAAGTGCGGATATGGCCTGCGTCAGAATGTCAATATTATTCGGCGCCGAACAAGCTCATTATACATACCTTCAAGAGAGGAAGTCATAATGCAGTCTTTCTGAAAGCCAAGCCAGCAGGTAGGATCTTCGCCAACGATTTTGGACTGTGAATCAGTTAGTCTTTTGAGCTGCCAATTTAGGTATCAATCAATGCTTACCATGATCGGGGGCAAAAGAGCTGTTCGAGACCTAGGTTCCACTGGGTGACTCGTCTGTTCGATATCGTCGTTGAACTTGGCGGTGGCATTAGAGTCTGAGCGCATACGATTGTCGCCGCTGTCTGCACGGTTGCGGTTGGCAGTTTGTGAATTTGGTACTACGATGCTGGATCGATTTCGAGTTGAGGCTTGGTGCACGCGAGGCCGATGGAGCATTCCAACGCTGAAATCCCACAAGAGGAGGCGGCAGTCGTCGCCGACACTGCCGAACCGGTATGTCTTCTGGTCACAACGCCAGGGGTCGAATGCTACACACGAAACCCAGGAGTTGTGTCCTTGGCATCTGGCAACAACTTTGCGCTCGGGGAAAGACCAAATCGTCAGCAAATCGTCCTGGCCTCCGGTTACGATGTATTTGCCATCCGGCGACCAGCAGACACAGATCAGGCCCCCATAGTAGCTGCGGAATATATCCAGTACCCTAGAAGAAGTTAGTTGGGGATCGTACTGTTCTATTAACATAGCGCAAACATACTCCTCTTTCAAGTAATCCATGAGCCGCAGCGACCCATCTTCGAGAACCACGGCCAAATGCCTTTGATCCGGCGAAAAGGAAAAGCTCGAAATTTTCTGGTTTGCCATTTTCCAAAACGAGACGGGGTTGGTCTTCTGGTTCTTGGAGTTCACAGACTTAAGGATGTCTAATGGTAGTCGTCCGATCTCTTGTTCGGAATGGCCGTTCGCCTCGGGGGTGAAAAGGGCATCCTCCTTCTCCTTGTCGTACACGACCAGCACACCATTGGCATGGGATGCTATGAACAGGTTCTCAGACCCAGGAAGCCATTTTATGTGGGTGACGGGGGAGTTGTTTATCACGCCATTCTTGTTGATCCGAGCATACTTCTGCGACATGGGCTCATACCAAATAATGTCGCCCGCGGAAGATCCCATCACAATGTCCAAATGTGAAGATGTCTTGGTGAGCTCATTGATATCATGGCAGAGCATGTGCGCCTTGGTAAAGAGAACTTTGGTAAGATGCTCCTCTTTTGTAGGCGAACTGAGGTCTAGCCATTGGAATGCTCGGTTGATATTCGCAAAGGCAAAAACGCCATTCCAGTCACGGTCACACAATCGCTTGGCAGATGTCTCGTGGGTAATAACTCGGGAAACGAAGGAAGAACTGCTCTTGATGATGTTGTTCTTGGGCTTCCTTCGCTTCGAGGCGTCCTTCGCTGCCACCGGTGGCGCCGCAAGCGCAGGGTTTCCGTCTCCGAATTGGGGAGCTGTAACAGCCGACTTTAGGAAAGTCGGAGGCTTCTTTTTGGGGTCGAGGGTAACAAGAGATAGCTTTACGCCGGTGGTAGGGGGTGTGGGTAGCGTCGCAAGAGGGTTCGGGTTGATGATAGGAGCTTCAGATGGGTGGGGAGGCGGTGTTGCGAGGAGAAGATCATCCTGGAGGATGTACGTTCCTGTCGCAATATAAAACGTAAGCTATCTCTGATCTTAAAGCAATCTGCTTGTATAGGAGCATCAGTAATTGCTGGGCACATACCCTCGCCAACTTGCAATGGACACCCGTTCTCCGGGTGGGTAATGGTGTTGTTCGTTTCCACAACAGGGACCGCCATACCATTTGCCGCCCCCGCCGCATATGCGACAGGGATGGTATAGCGCGGAGGAGGAGGGGGAAGGACGCTGCTGCTGGTGTCAGAAAATGAAGTGATTATCTCGTACCCGAGAGTTATGCAATTCTCTCAAATTACGTTGGTAATAGTGAGGACACAAGGCTCTTGCAGATTGAAAGTAGGTCGGAAATCAGAATAAGTGGGAAAGTAAGGAAAGAGTGTGCTTACAACATGATTAGTCGTCACTCGTACAGGCGCAATTTGAACTCGGGCTGAGATCTGGTGTGACCGCAACCTTGGATCCGATAAGGCAAATGCCCAAACCTTGCCCTCTCGATGTACTTTATGCAAACTTTCTTCCAATCTTATATACCGATATCTGCAAGTTCCAAGGTTCTTATGTGTTGGGAATGGGCGATGGACAGGCTGCAGAATATGGCAGGGGGCGACAGCGAGTTAAGGTGCGCAAAGCCCGACAATCACAGATGTACGTATGTACTCGGTAAGATGTATATAATAATATCGGGGTTCGAAGTTTGGACGTTGGAGGTTTCGAAAATACACGACGAGCAAGAGGGGGAGGATCAGCGAGGGAAACGATGTCCGGGGTAACGTTCGAGCGGAGAACACACCGCGTGCCTGGCGGGGACCGGCTTAACTCCGGCTGAGCCGGCCATGTGCCTGACTAAGTATCATGGTCGATTGAGCGGGACAAATATGTATTTAGATCATTTTACATCTATTTGCACATTAAATTACGGGGTATAGAAGATCAACGAAGAGGACCCTAATTGCCGCTTCCAACTCGTCGCCATATCATCACCGCGGCGGCGCCTGCACAAACCACCGCTCCGAGAGCAATTCCCCACGACATCCATTTACCCTCCACATCCTCTTCACTACGCGGGAAAGCGGTGCTTGGTTCCATGGCAGCCTCGGCAATATGGACAAACACCTCCTGGATAGAACTCCACGTAACACTCACATGGAGCGGCGGACTAGGCATGTTCAGCATAGCCGTGTATTCATGAGGTTGGTGCTCGGCTCGCTGCGTCGTCCGATCCAGATCGGCTTTGAGGGCAACAAATACACTCGGGAGCTCCTCCAGGTGAGGATATTTTGCCAACAATGCAGGAATGTACGAAAATGAGTCCGGGTCCGAGGAATCGTATGTGTACGCAATCACGTCGCACTGATCCAGAAGTTTCGACTGGTTCTCCAGCAAAGCAGGCTCCAGCTCACCTAGTTCATCCAAAATCAGGTAGCACTGTTTCCCGCCCGGAAGCTCCACCGTATTCACTGCGGTACGTGGTTGGATGGTAGGGTGGTAGGTGGTGCTGAATCCGCGGGAAAGAAGTGCATCGAGCAGGGCCGATTTTCCGGATCCAGGGGCTCCCAGAACATGACATTGGACAACATTGCGTCCAACACGGCCCGGGCGGCGACGCTTTCTTCGTGGACGTGTAACTTTCAGCGCCGCAGTAATAGATTGATCGCTTTGGTCGGAGGGCTCAAAGCCCAGGTATGCCAAGTATTCGAGGGTAGTTTTGGGAGACAGGAAGGTAGTCATGCTCCACTGGGCAAGCCAGCCTTGCAGTGTTACATGTCCTGCCTCATTGCGGACTGTGGAGGATGGGAACGAACCGTCGGCCCATGACGCAGGCAAGCCCGGGGTAGGGGCAAACAAGGATTCAAGTTCGGCCTCATTCAGACCCCCGTCATTATCCTTATCAGATAGAAGAAAGAGATTCACAAAGAATCGATAGCCTTCGGGTGATAGTTCGGCAGAAGCGAACGGCGGTACTTCGAACTTCGGGTGTAGGAACTTCTCTTGCAGGGAGAGATTATCTGTATACTGGAACGCCCGTAAGATGATCCAGACTGTTTCGTGTCGCCCTTTCTCCGAGTACAATTTGTTCAGATGAATAAACCCTTGACAGTCAATGCCTGACTCCGTAACCGAGTCCGGATAGGCTTTTTGAATGGTATCCTTGATGTGATTAAGATCCGCTTCGTTCAATGGTTTGGAAAAGCACCGGATTTGGAAATCCTTGAGCTCCTTATCTGATAGATATCCATCGCGATCTTTGTCGCAGAGATAGAATATCCTTTGTAACGCTGCTACCGCAGCGGGCTTCAAAGCCGCCTCCTTGGAATCGAACAGCGGCGCGATAGGGTGCGTGACAGCCTTTTGGCAAACGAAGAAGGCTTCGTTGACATTACGATGCTCCCGGGCACTCGTACGTATACACGAGTCAATTTCCTTAAACTCTGCCATCAACGGAAGCATCTCCTCCTCAACCACTCGCGTCTCACTATGACCAGTCGCCAGGTCGGACTTGTTGGCACACAGGACTACCGGGACATTGACGCCCAACGAGCGGAAGTATGGTAACCAGAACAGAGCCACCCGTTCATAGCTGTAGTGGTCGGAGTACACGAGGAGAATCACGTTACATTTCCGTATCTCTCGCGCGAGATTGTTCCGTTCCTGGGGGAGGGCCGAGGTGTCGACGACGGTCGTGGTGGTGACGTTTTCGGGGGTCCCGAGGGTGGGAGGGATGGTAATTTGGGGGAGGACTGGTTGGATTTTGTTCGTAACAAATACGCCTTTGACGAGCGAGGTGATGAGACTGGACTTGCCAGTGCCCTCGTCCCCGCAGACGCAAATGCGAACTGGACGAATTGGCGTGTCAGGAGTGCTTCTGGGGGTGATATACATATGTATATGACATACCTGATGCCATTTTCGCGTCTAGCGAGTCATATATTGATCATAATCCGACCATGATCTGCGCTCAAGAAGTGTATGGGGGTGGATAAGTTCAAAGGTCGATTCCGGATGGGACAATCGCGATACGATAGCACATGGTCTTGGCGCCTGGGACATCTGCAAGTATGCTATATAATGGCTATACACATCTTTCTCTACACATTATGAGACTGTTGCTTTGGCTATGATCTCTTTATTCTCGTTCTCCTTTTCTTTTAATAAATTGTTAAGAAACTCCCAATTTGCCAAGCAACGCTCCTCTCGCTCAGCCACTATTAAACACGGAGCCAAGAGACCACAAGATCGCCCAAATACGGCAGATATCAAGTGCTAGCAAACCATGAGGGCTTTTGATTTCCAATTGACTATCTAACTTCTTAAAGGTATCTCAAACATTGTACTATCCCTGGTATCTGATCCAGTCTCGGATTTCTGCGAGGTACAAAGTACATCTTCAGCCTCCCACGAACCGGCGTCCCGCATTAGCCGTCATCAGGCCCACACTGACTAACCGTTACCCTCGAGACCCGTAGACATCAACAGCTCCTTATTTCCCCCCATTTCTCCTTCCCCAGTCGAGTTTTCATTTGCCTACCTCGATAATCAGCAGTCAAGATGGGTTTCGGGATTCACAATCCGCTGCCCGCGTCTATGAACAGTAGGTTCCATCAATCTCCAAAGCCCACTTCCCCGCAGTCGTGCGCGGCATGTCCGGCTGACATTGGATTCTCTCTTAATAGGCGAGTGCAAGAAGGCTGCAAAGATCTTGACATCATTTGTTGATCCCAGGCAATCATTCGGTCCCGACAAGGTCATTCCACCAGAGATTTTGGCCAACGCAAAGGTAAGACACCCATTATGTCCCGGTTGCGAACATGCATGGCTAACAGCCCTTTTGCCTTAGGGTCTTGCCGTCCTCACAGTTCTCAAGGCTGGTTTCCTAGGTTCCGGTCGATTCGGCTCCGGTATCGTTGTCGCTCGTCTTGGCGATGGGTCTTGGTCGGCTCCATCAGCTATTGCGACTGCAGGTGCCGGAATTGGAGGGCAGATCGGGTTTGAGTTGACCGACTTTGTTTTCATTCTCAACGATGCCGCTGCTGTTCGCACATTCTCCCAAGTGGGAACACTGACACTGGGTGGCAATGTATCACTCGCGGCTGGACCGATTGGCCGAAATGCCGAGGCGGCTGGCGCAGCCAGTACGAAGGGCGTTGCGGCCGTCTTCTCCTACTCGAAAACCAAGGGTCTCTTCGCCGGTGTCAGTCTGGAAGGCAGTATGCTGGTCGAACGCAAGGATGCGAATGAGAAATTGTACCGCAGTCGGGTCACCGCCAACCAACTTCTCACGGGCAGCATTCGCGCCCCGCCGGCCGCCGATGCTCTGATGCGCGTGCTGAACTCCCGTGCATTTCAAGGAAATGCGCGGGCCTATGGTGACTCCATGTACAATGACATTCCTGTCTATGACGACAGCCATGACGATGTGGTCTGGGAGGGACGCAAGGGCGATGCCTACGGTCAAGGTACACATCGTGCTCGGTCCAACACCAATGAAAATAATTATGACTACCGCGACAAGCCGCGCCGTGCGAACACCTGGGCTGACGATGTTTATGATCGGCCTGCCTCGGGGCTTGGTCGTTCCGCGACAACCCGGGGCCCTGCCGGCGATGCATTTGATAGCTATGGGCGCAACCGGAGCAACACCGCGCCATTCGAGGAGGATTATGTCTATTCGGATCGCAGACCTACCCGTCCAACTGCCCCTAAGCCAGTCTTTCAACAAAAGACTGGTGCGGCCCAATTGCGATCGGACCAAGCCGTTGCCCTTTTCACCTTCGATGCGGATCAAGAGGGTGACCTTGGATTCAAGAAGGGTGAAATTATTACCATAATGAAGCGGACAGATAAGGCGGAAGACTGGTGGACTGGTCGCATTGGTGACCGCGTGGGCATCTTCCCCAGGTAAGAACTTGCTCCTTCCAATCTATGGAATTGACGGCTAATTCATTCGCAGCAACTATGTTGAGGCCTCTTAGGTTGATGCTTGTCCAATGCTGGTCCACGTAGCACACATGTGATGAACTCTTGATGCACATTTCTCCGGGACTTGATGAACATACGTCCCCCAAACTCTTGCCCTACATATATCCTGGTGTATACGGATTCGTCAAATGCTCTTCTTTTCCATTCTTTCTCTTTCTTTTTACGTTAAAGTTGTTGGTGTCATTTACATTCTTCAGCGTGGAGTTTCTCGTTCTCATGCTTTTTTTTTACTGCGGGTTTGGAGGCTTGGGGATACTGTCATCTTGGATCTTTTCGGTTTTATGCAGAGCATTTCCCATCTGATTGTGATTTCCCCGGGGTTTATTCCATCCATCTATGTCTCATAAGTCTCTTCTTAGTCTCTTAGGTTAGATACAACTTTCAGCTCCATTTGGTTTGATAGTTCGAGCATAATAATCCTATGTACCTAGGTCTCTCACATTCTGGGCTGCATCTCGTGTTATTGACTTGTGCGTACACTTGCATGGCATATCCAGCCATTGTCTTCGGCCCCCCGGGAAGATTGAATAAAGTCACATGGCGTTCTATGGAATCTCAGGTCCGTCCGGCATCTAGTCCATCCATATAAGGATATTATAGACAAAAGATGCCAATCGGGTTTGCAATGACAAATTTGCATTTCTTATGTGTTTTCAACATTTCCCATGCCAATCCAGGTTTTTCAGCTTCTGGCAAAGATAAATGTAACGAGTACGAGGCTACCTTTTCAGCCCTCGAGATACATGGATGCAGTGTCACAGATCGAAGAAATATATTGCAAGTCAGCTCTAAAAAGTAGGTGCTACCTACTTTCTTTGGAGTCCGATGTTAGGATCTGAACCAAAAGAATGTATCACTGAAAAAGTACAGAATAGAGAGAAAGGGAAAGAAAGAAAAAGAGAACATGTACGATTGTATGTTGTAGATCAACCGATCGTCCACCATCTCCCCCCGATGTAAGTGGAGCAGTGCTCAATGAATCGAGATCTAGAAGACCTAAAAGCCCTAATTCAAGAAGAAAAAGAAGACAATAGATAGAAACTCTTAATATGATAGAATTTCATTTGGAGTTTCAGATAGTCAGGTGCTGTGGAGGCTATGTACTCTCACTCACCTCATCTTCTCTCCGCCCGCTAAACTCCCTTCTTCTCTTTCCTTTCTTCTCCCAAAATCTTCTCGACCCATGACGCTCATTCGGACTCGGTATCTGAATGTCTAGCGTACTGCTACCGGTTCTTTATCTCCATTCCTCTTTCCCCGCTTCGATGACCCGTTCCTCCTCGCTATCCAACGTGGTTGACACTGCCCCCTCCTCTTAAGCTTCCGCCATTCGGGCTCCGTCTTTGACGTCTTTTGGTTCCTGTACAACTGGCTTCCCATGCAGGTGCGTCGCTTTTCCGGTCCCTGCTCTTCGGTTCACGTGCGCGTGACTTTTTGTCAAGACCCCCCTCAACCTCGAACCCCTCAGACACAACCACAACCACATTCTCGTGGAATTGGACCCCTTCCTATGGACTCCGAGAATTGGATCTCGACTTCAAACTGGCGAATTCTTGTTTCTAATGATATTTTGTACCCGTTCAGGCTTCCACGAGTGCCCACGAGGCTGGCGGGCATGCGACGCGGAGAGGTCACGCCGCCCATCTATCGATTAGCGATCCAAGCCACCATGTGACGGAAGCCATCGGGCACATGTACGACGACGACTATGATCGTAATGATCCGAGACGCCTGAGCTATATAACATCCCCCCTCGGCGAGTCAATAACAACCATCCCGCGCGCCGCCGCAGGATCCGAGTCCCCTCTTTCTCCGTCCTCACCATTGCATCAATCTTCGTCTGATGTGCAAACGATACAGACAAATGGAGACCAACGGCCGCCGCTTGTTGCAAACCGGTCCTTTGACCGAGAAAGTGATCCGGGGAATGCCGATGGTAGTCGATTACCCTCGGACACTGCAACGTCTTCTTTTCCTCTCAACGATATCGACTACGAGTCGAACCCTGCGGCCGTCGCTCAGGAACTGAATAATCTCGCCGCGATTCGGCGCATGTCGATGGATGTGGCCGCCGCGGGTGACCCTGACCTCCCAGGATTCGCACCACCCCCCTCGCCCTCGGCCGACGAAGATGACGCCTCTCGGTTATTCTGGGTTCCTGCGCGACTGCATCCCGAACTGGCTCCGAAAGAATTCAAGTCGTTTCTCGACAGCAAGGCCGACCATATCAAGCGCAGATCTGGCGATTATTCGACTTCAGGTTCCGAACGCCAAGGGTCGGGAGGTGGTCTTAATCGAAAACGCTCCATGTTATCGAGACAAATCGATAATTCCTCAGGTTATACAGACGGTGCTGATCGGTTGGAACATCAACGCTCTCAATCAAGTAAGCGAGATGGCATGTTGAGTCCCAATTTGCAACAATTGGAAAGCTTGGTGGATGATTCGCAACCGATGGACAAAGAATCACTCGTACGCGGCATGCAGAATATCGGCGTCGGTGCAAATGAGGACAGGCCGATCCTGCCACCCACACCTCTGGGAAACAGCCTACGCCGGTCAACCCGGACACAGTACAAGAAAGCGGGCAGTTTGAAAAAGGGCGAGAAGTTGCCGTACTCTAAACGAGTTGGACGGGGGGCATCTGAATCTGCAGGGAGTGATGTGAGACCTCCGGTTGTACCCCCTCAAGATCCCACAACTCTGGGGCAAACCGGTGGCTCGACTGATCCTACTCCCAAAACGACACGCGCAGCTCGAGCCCCCTCTGCCTCATCGCATGGCTCAGCTCATGCCGCAAGTCCAACTGCGAGTTCGACATTCGATCCGATTATCGATCAGCCCGAGGCCGAGCAGGAAGACTTGTCCACCTCTGGTGGGCAAGCAGATGTTGCTCTGGATCG